ACTGCGAGGGGATCCTTGCGGTTGAGGTCCAGGGGTGCACACTGCGATCCGGAGCTGGCCAGACAAGATCGGCGAAGCAAGGAGGAAGGAGGAAGGAAGGAGGAGGAGGAGGCGGAGGAGGAAGAACAACTGTGATAAAATCTAACAACCCTCACCTGGCAGGTGGGGAAAAAGTTCTGAATAGACTTGATTCTTGATGTAGTCCTCTTCATGTTGATTCTAAACACCAGCCATGTTGGTCATTTCTCTCGTCGCACGAGTGATCGGAAAACGCCGACGCAGATCTTTCTTGTTTTGGGAAGCGCTGCTGAGCCACCTGCCTCCTGCCCACAGGCCAGCGGGTGCAGCTGGTCAAACATTCACAAGAAGAGCTATGATTCAAAAATAGGGAGCACCATAGCCAGCTCATTTTGGATGGTCTCCCAACTTTGAATCGCTCCAAAGGATTGCCGAAATGGCCCAAAGGAGGGTCACGGTGCAGTTGTTAGGGCTTTTCCGGGTACTGGTCCATTGACTCCACTCTTGGTTGCAACTCTGGTGTGCAGAATTCAAATCATCGACCTCCAAAGGGTCAGGAAAGGAGGGACCGCCAACCCCTAGAAAGGTATTGTCGCTTCCATCATCATTCTTGGCATACGGAAGAATGTGACGAGTTAAGTAAACCACTTAGCATATCTCTGATGGTTTTGCCAAAAGCAAAAAATGAAACTACAAAAAACAAAAACCAAAAAATACAAATCCAAAAGCAACAAAAACAAATGGAACATCACATGCAAAAAACACTTCCAAAAAACAAAAACAGCAAACGAAAAGCAAAAACAAAAAACATACACCCAAAAAACACATGAAAAAACAAACGGACAAAACACATCCAAAAAGCACAAAAAACCACATGAAAAAACAAAAACAAAAAACAAACAAGTCCAAAAAACAAAAACAAATGAAAAACACGCGCGCAAAAACAACAAAAAAACGTTGACCCCCGAAAGGCGCGAAAACGAAAAACGCATTCAAAAAAACGACGCAACAAAATAGGCAAACAAACAAGCGAAAAAACAGCGACAAAAAACAAACGTGCAGAAAAAATAACGACACAAAATGGACGCCATGCTGCGTTTTGCGTTTGTTGTTTTTGTTTTTTGGATTTGTGTTTTTTTGTTCGCTTTGTTTTTGTTTTTTGTTTTTTTGATTTTCAAGATTCACCTAGTCAGCCCGGGTCCGGCGAACATAATGATAGAGGCGACTTGAGCAAGAAAGAAATACCTCATCAATCCTCACTAGGGGATCAGAGACCATTAGTCATTCGCCCTGCTTTGTACTGTTTGCTACTTTATATTTTTTTTCCAGCAGTCCATGCTTACAGAGATCAGCAGTTCCTTATACATGGAAGAGATAGCAATTTCGACCTGGTTACATTGTTTGCCAGGCCGCGGTGACGCTAGTGTGTCCTCGATGGCCGCCTCGCGGTAACAGCGATCCCAAACTCGAAGCTTGGATGGTGGATGGGTGGATAGTCCTGGTGATCAACCTGTGTGCACCATGCCGAGATGAACATTGAACAGCTTGGCTTCGAGGCTGCGGCGAAAAAGATGAACAAGGGTGCCATGACTAAAGAAGATCTCACAGCCACGTCGTGGTTTTGCCGCCAAGAATAAACCTACCTGATGCGGTTGTAGCAGGGTGTTGGATCAAGCCACAGAGCATCAAGAACAGCAGCAGTTTTTTCTTGATCAGTTGTTTTATTTCTTTTTCGGGATCCACAGTGGCGACTCTATCTTGTGGGGATGAAAAACCGCGCACCGTTCTTGGATGTGACAGATGCATACAGGTCTGATGTAAGGATGTAAGTGAAACGGGGTTGTGATGGTTTCAAGACAACATCCAGTCTTGACGTGGCATGCGACAGTGGTGATATTTTAGACCTGGAAGGCCGATGAAGAACAAACAGATGCACAACGGATCACGATGGCATAATACTGTATTTTCCGGGAGGTCCCAACCCGAAGCCTCCATTTGCTTGGAACGAGGGCCACGGATGGCCACGGCCGCTTTCAGGAGATGCGGTGTTGTCGAGGATTCTTTTCACCTGATACGGTCGCCAGGAGCCGAGGGTCTGAAGTCGACACGTTGAGCGGAAGTAGTTGCCTGTGTGGACATACTTGGACCCACGGTCTGACATGGTTTCTCTTTCTTTTGTGTTCCGTCTAATTAGCGGGGAGCAAACCGCCTTGAGGGCTGCCGGGCTGTGCCGCCGACCCTAGGTAATGTGTGTTTCTTTTTTGTTATCTGGCACTTATGGCATTGAAAAAGTGTCTTTGTTTTGGCACTGAAGAAGTGTCGTGGCCCTGAACAAGTGTTTTCTTTTATTTCACACTGAACAAATCGCTTTTTGTTCTTTCTCTCTCTCTCGCTCTCACTCTCTCTCTCTCTCTTTCTTCTCTGTTTGTGTTTTCTTTTTCACGAAAGCTAGCCTTAGCTAGCTGAAGTTGCTCTTGCTTTAGCAAGCTAAATGACGGGGTGGACGCGCCTCAGAAACCTCAAATAATTGATTAAATCAATCTTATGGACCCCCCCCCCTCCGGAGGTTCAACTCCCCCCTGCGCGCGGTGAGCGGGTGGAAACAAATTAGCTGCTGCTGCCTGGTGTGCTCGTTTGCTCCTGCTGCTGCTGCTGCCTGGTGTGCTCGTCTGCTGCTGCTGCTGCTTCTGCTGCTGCTGCTGCGGGGTGGGCTGCTGCTGCTGCCGCTGCTGTGGCTGCTACTCGGTGGGCGGTTCATTCCCTCCGGCTATGCACTGTGGGAGCACTTGGACTCCACGTGCGCTCTAAAGCAGTTTTGTCAACCTTTGAGTGCCGATAGTCGGAGTGCACAAGAGCCAAATGACGCTACCTGACTCCATATCGGAACTAGTGGTGTACGAGGGGTAAGGCTATGATGCAAGAAATGCCGCCTGCACATTGTACCCAAAAAGGTGTTAATTTAAACCCCTTTTTCGTACCAATTTTGGCCCAGCATTTGCAACACTATGGCCTCACGTGCTCGCCTGCTGGTCTGCTGCTGGGTGGTCTGCTGCTGCTGCTGCTGCTGCTGGGTGGTCTGCTGCAGCTGCTCGGTGTTCTGCTGCAGCTGCTTGGTGTTCTGCTGCAGCTGCTTGGGGTTCTGCTGCAGCTGCTGGGTGGTTGCTGCTGCTTGGTGGTTTGTTGCTGCTGCTGCTGCTGCTTCTCTTTTTTTGGTGGCCATGTACAATAGAATTCGGTGCGAAAGCGGTGCAAAACGAGGGCCACATTTTGAACTCGTGTTGAACTGATTTGGAGGTATCTCATGCCTAGCATCAAAATCTTGGTTTGCTGCTGCTGCTGCTGCTGGTAGGTGGTCTCCTGTTGCGTGGTGGTGTGCTGCTGCTTGGTGGTTTGCTGCAGTTGCTTGCTGGTCTGCTGCTGCTTGGTGGTCTGTTGTTGCCTGGTGGTTTGCTGCTGCTTGGTGGTCTGCTGCTGCTGCTGCTGGCTGGTCTGCTGCTGGGTGGTGGTTTGCTGCTGCTGGGTGGTGGTCTGCTGCTGCAGCTGCTGGGTGGTTTGCTGCTGCTGCTGCTGGGTGGTCTGCTGCTGCTGCTGGGTGGTCTGCTGCTGCTGCTGCTGCTGGCGCTGGGTGGTCTGCTGCTGCTGCTGCTGCTGCTGCGGCTGCGGCTGCCCTGGGTGGTATGCTGCTGCGCTGGGTGGTCTGCTGCTGCTGCTGGTGGTATGCTGCTGCGCTGGGTGGTCTGCTGCTGCTGCTGCTGGGTGGTCTGCTGCTGCTGGCGCTGGGTGGTCTGCTGCTGCTGGCGCTGGGTGGTCTGCTTCTGCTGCTGCTGCTGCTCCTTTGTGGTTTGCTGCAGCTGCTTGGTGGTAGACTGCAGGTGCTTGATGGTTTGCTGCAGCTGCTTGGTGGTTTGCTGCTGCTGCAGCTGCTTGGTGGTCCGTTGCTGCTGCTGCTTGGTGGTTTGTTGGTTGGTTGTCTGCGCAGCCACACCCTAGCATGCGCACGCCTCCCCGCCCGGCTAGCTTTCGTTCACCCCCTCTGGCCTCAAGTGGTTATATACTTTGTTGTTTTCTTTCTAGTTATATACTTTGTTCAGTGTAACAGGAAATCAATAGGAAGCAAATGGAAAGGAAAGTGAGTCAAAGGAAATCAAAAGGAATCAACAGGAATCAAGGAAAGGCAAAAGGACTCAAAAGGAAATAAATGGGAAGCAAAAGGAATCAAAAAGAAACCAAATGGAAACAAAAGGAAATGAAAAGGAATCCTCAAGAAAATCCAAAGGAATCAAAACAATGTTAAGTGGCTTCTCCCGACGGCCCGTAACGATTGGACTTGCCACGCTTTTAGCCAATCCAATTCCACACCAAAAATGGCCCAAAAACAGTCCCCGAAGCTGGTCGGCCAGTGCCAAACGTCACTTTCTGACGGCAGTAAAAGTTATCCCAGCAAGAGACCCTGTGTGTGTGTGAGGTCTGTAAGACGCATTGGGGTCCAGAGAGGTGATGGTGGTGATGAAGGTGGGGATTGTCGTGACGGTGGCGGTGAGTGCGTGAGTGAGTGAGTGAGTGAGTGGGTGCGTGCGTGGGTGGGTGGGTGGGTGAGTGAGTGGGTGGGTGGGTGGGTGAGTGAGTGAGAGTGCTGTGCCTGCTAACGAAATCTGCGCATCAAGGTTCACAAAGAGCTGCGCCTGTCACGAAATCTGCGCAGCAAGGGGCAAGGTTCACAAAATACTGCGCATGCCACGAAATCTGCATTTCGCGGTGCCTGCCACGAAATCTGAACTCTCGAGGTTCACCAAGTGCTGTGGCTGCCACGAAATCTGCACCTCGAGGTTCACCACAAGTGCTGTGCCTGCCACGAAATCTGCACTTCGACGTTCACCGTGTGCTGTACCTGCCACGAAATCTGCACATCGAGGTTCACCAAGTGCTGTGCCTGCCACGAAATCTGCACTTCGAGGTTCACCAAGTCCTGCGCCTGCTACGAAATCTGCACTTCGAGGTTCACAAAGTGCTGTACCTGCTACGAAATCTGCACTTCGAGGTTCACCAAGTCAGTGCTGTGCCTGCCACGAAATCTGCAGATCCAGGGTCACAGAGTGCTGTGCCTGCCACGAACGAAATCTGCAAACGAGCCACATGTCCAAAAGTCACGATTCGCTGCACGAAATCTGATCTCCTCGACGATCACCACCATGTCCAAAGTGCTGCACCTGCCACGAAGAAGTAAACAGCTCCGATTCCTTGCACCTGTCGCAAAAAGTCGACTTTGGAGCACCAAATTCAAAACGCGAGGCTTCCCATTGCGCCTGCCACGAAAAATCACCACCATGTGCGAAAATGCGCACGGCGCCACAACGAGAGCGCAGCTGCTAGAAGCACCCGCCGCGGGCAGGCAGATTTTGCGAGCCTGCGCAGTCGAATGAATTAGCCGCACACGCCCGCGCGGCACAGCAATCTAAGCACAGCTTCTTTTCACCTGCCGTAAGAACCCCTTAGTGTGTCCACACTGTTTGGCGAAAAATCCTTCTCTAGATCCATGGACGGTGCTTGATGGAGTTGCGCTCTCGTTGTAGTGCCGTGCGCATTTTTGGACTTGGTGATCACTTTTCGTGGCAGGCGCAAGGGACACCTCGTGTTTTGGTGGTCGACTTTTCGTGACAGCCGCAGGAGAGATCGGAGCAGTTTGATGTCGATGTGCAGATTTTAGGCAGGCGCAGTACTTTGGACATGGTGGTGGTCTTCGGCATGGATTGATTTCGTGGCAGGTGCAGTGGACTAATTGGACATGTGGATCGTTTTCAGTGGCAGGTGAAGTGCGAATGGACCTTTAAGTGCAGATTTCGTGGCAGTCGCGCTACTTTGTGGACCCTGAAGTGCATTATTGTGGCAGGCGCAGTACTTGAGCAGTACTTTCGATACTTCGTGGGCCTTGAAGTCCGGATTTCGTGGCAGGTGCAGTACTACTTTGTGGGCCTTGAAGTGCAGATTTCGTGGCAGGCGCAGTACTTTGTGGACCTTGAAGTGCAAATTTCTTGGCAGGTGCAGTACTTTGTGGCCCTTGAAGTGCAATTTTTGTGGCAGGCGCAGTACTTTGTGGACCTTGAAGTGCGAATTTTGGTGCAGGTGCACTATTTTGCGGACCTTGCAAGCACAGATTTTGGAAGCATTGCGAATCCCCATCCCCAGCATCACCATCACCACCACCACCACTAGATCTCTAGACTTTCTGCTGCCACGCATCTCGACCTCAAGCACACTTTGCTGTCCTGGCGGCGTGAGGATGTCCTCATTTGTCTCTGAGCTTTCAAACTGGTTTGCGGCAACTCTTCTTTCACACACTCTGTGGAAGTCTGGGCATTCGCGGCCGTGTCTTCGGACCCTTTCTTTAACTTACGTAACCTTTCCCGAGTCCCCGGGATGATTGTTTGCTAGCCTCGAGCCTGTCTCGCGTCCAGATTCCAAGTCCGCTGCAACAGGCTACTGAACCCCGCCCTCCATACAGTCAGTCTGTTTGTTTGTCACCGATTTCTTGCGCAGTGTCCTTTGGCGCGCTCCCCCACCATCGGCTGGGGTCTGCGGATTAGCACCACAGCAGCTAGCTCACGCCAAGTGTCATGGAAGCAGATCAGTGGGACTTGCACATGCTGTCATCGAACATAATTCACACCAATCTACAATTTTTTTGTTTCTGGCAGTTTCTGGTAGGTGCCAGAGCCAACATGAGCCAACGCGCATGACCTTCCGCCTTCTCCGCTTCGCAGGATGCTCCGACACCTCACGAGCCTCATGGATTCGCTGAGCAGGCCCGGTGAGTGAGGCGGAGCATCGCTCCAGACCCCGGAAGCCGAAAAGATTCGCAGATAGATGGTTCATGAATGTTCATGATGTTTCTCCACTGAGGTGTTTGATTCCCCAACCGACATGATTGGGGTAGCTAGATGTTGGAGTAGACATGCAGCGCTTCACGTAGTGCCTGTCCAGTCCAACGGCAAGCACTGCAATAGAACAACAAACACCGACATGGACTGCACTGAATGACATACACAAGGACAACGCTGTGGCCCGACCCAAACATCTCACCAGTGTCCAGTGTCTTGCCACAGTGTCCCGCAAGTGGGCCCCCCTCAGTGTCCGGCCAATAACCCTGATCCAGGAACCGACAACAGACAATGAACACAGAATTGACCATAGTTGACAACACCAACCACACCAGGACACACAGAATACCTGGTCGGGCCGGGTTAGCTCGAAGAAACGTGACCCACAGCATGCTCTCAAAGCCCTGCAGCTTAAGGCGGTACTAAAGTGGATCATGAGTGGGTAGCCCTTTTTGTTAGTATCTCTCATCAAATTCATTAAACAATAATTACTGAATATGGACTGAATGCAGATATCAAGTCTCTTTCACAAGTGCTTTGAGTTTGTTTGAACGTTTACGTGCATGTTTCGATCACTCATATTGGATCCCGATGGCCGGCCTTCATAGGAAAATCTGTACATCACTGGAGGTACAGTCCACCAATGCGTGTTAGAGTGTTTTCCCTTGGAATCCTCCCACAACGTCCTACAACAAGAATTATACTACTGTATACAGTATTATAATATATACTACTATATCTAGTACTTAGGTATTCTTGAAGCTAAAACACCGGTACACGATGTTACACCGGGGAAGTTGTTGGGAGATCCCTCCATGTCAGACATCCGCATCAAAACCCTGAGGTCCCCGGAGATGGCGCTGTGTCAACTGTCGCTGCAGAGCGAGGGCTCGGTCGATGAGATGGAAGTGTCTCAGTGGCAGGACGCCTACAGCCCCTTGGCTCATCACTGCTACTAGGAGCAAAGACGCTACTAGGGCCATCGCTATTGGGTTGGAGGCCATCGATGCTTCCAAGATCGGAATTCACACACGGGACCCCGTTCGATGTTTGGTTTGGTGCGGGCGGTTTCGTAAGGGTCCAAACAGACACCGCGAAAATGGGATGTGCAAAGATTGGCTGGTTTTGACCATTCTGTCACCTTCTGTTCGTTTTTTTTTGTGTGCAGTCCATGCTGGAATTTTGCAGACAGAGGCCAGAGGCAATGAAATGTCAAAGGTATGCAAAGCTCCCCATGTTGGTCGAGTGGAGTTTGTTGTTTTTCTGTGCGACGATTTTGATTGCTCGACTAAGCAAATTGTGGATGTTCAGAGCTTCAACAGTGAGCAGAGAACGCTGGCGGCCTAGCCATCCAAGGCTCCTCTTGCTATGTACCTGGTGCAAAAGAGCATTTCTCTGCAGATCGATCTATGTCCTCCATGTCGCTTGGCCTTTTTTTGCCATGTTTAGTCCCTAGATCGACTGGAGCAGGTGGAATTTCAGACCGTTTGAGGGATGTGGTGTTGTGACATGTTGTCCTTGCAGTGCCTGTCAAGACAAGGATCGAGACCACGGCAAAGGCGTTTCCGAATGAGCTGGCCCTGATGGATGATGGTTCTGGTACGACATACACCTACCAGGACTGACCGGGTGAATATTTCTTTGGTTTTGAGAGCCATTACTCCGTGGAATCCCCTGTTTCAGTGGTGGATTTGTTGGATATACTTATATAAGTACTGATATACAATGGGATACATAGTTTCGATTGGTGTGGCATGCAGCTGTTGTGCCACAGGAAGTCTTGAAGATGTCCAGCTCCTTGGTGCAGCTCTGGACAGGTTGAGTGGAAAAACCGAGCACTTGCAGAAACCAAACACTTGGCTGGTGCAGCTGGATGTCGTACCCCAGACCCAACCTGTTAAGTATATACTGTAAATGTTTGAAGGAGGTCCTTTGGATGGAAGGATCCTGGATCGCTCGGGAAGCATTTGATGTCCCTCTTGACCAGATATGGATCCGTGCTTTAAAGGATTCAGAAAAGTCTTTTGTGAAGGTCTCATTTGAGGTGAACACCTCAGCTTGGTGAAGCGAAGCACACCTCAGCAACTCCTTTGGTGCTCAGATTGTTTTGTTCGACAGATGCAAAACTCCTAGGCTCACTGGCCTTCGCACTACGGCAAGCTGGGGCTTCTTAGCTGTATACAGACAGATCTTGTTTTGAGGCGTCGGTAGGCCAGCATTCCTATATACTATATATGCAGGCAGTTCTCTTCATGGTGAATCAACACCCACAAAATTCTAGTCCCATACGAGCTGCTGCCCGAGGTCTTCCCGGACTCGCTTGTCCCACTGATGGCCTCGCGGGGAGTGGAGATGATTCTGGGCATCCTTGGGATCATTCGCTCTGGAAGCGGTGGGGGACACAGCGTCATCAGGGAGCGTCCAGTCAACTGCAAAAGGAAAACAGATGAAAAACGAAGAATTTGCAGAAGCTAAATGAATCAACTCAGCAACTCTGTGATTTTCACTTCTTGCCACTCTGATGGCTCAATGCGTGGGTCTGATCCCATCCTTTTAAATCGATGGCCTTTTACGCCCTTGGTTGCTGGATTTGTGGGAAGGGGACAACACCCTCAAGTGTACAATCAATGATACCACAACGACCCCTTTATTCTTCCCAAAGGACATCACTGGTTGGGATTGTTGTTTTTATTCATAATTACGACATTCCCCTTCGCCTGACGGTTTTACAGCTTGCTGCTGCTACTTGAAGAGTTGGACAGCCATTCAATTGGTTGACATTATGATTGGCTCACCCAACAACCTGCCATTCGTTGCATTACAGCAGCTAGGTGTCATGCTTTTGAACGATGGATAGGGGTTCCATCTTCCACTCGTCACTAGAAGACTCTCTTGGAGACCCCACACCGTGTGGGCCCCTTCCCCAGCTGTGCTCGATGCTTCGAGGCTATGTCCCGCTGGACCTTCATTGGCCAGACGATCGACTGGAAGACGTCTTACGCCAGTGCGGCAGCCAGGCGCCGTCTTCGCCAGTTCAGCATATCGACATTGGGTCATTGAGTTTGGAGTGGAGGGATCCTCAAGTCCGCAAAGGTGACAGTCCAGAAAGGTGTTTTGCCGGCCGACTTGCTCGTGATGTGCAGATTTGCCCGGGAAAGCCACCCTTTGAGGATTTGACCTTGACCTGAAGATGTCACTGTTTAAACACTTTCCATGAAGCAGGCCTGCGCCTTGTTGGCGTGCAGAAAGGATTCCACAGATGGCGAAAGACATACCTTGTCGTTCATGGCAATTTGTCATGCCTTCATGTCAAAGGCCTCAATGAGGAGTAAAATGACTGAACACGTTCAGGTTCACTATGTTGGAGGCTGTCGCTTTTAAAAGGTTGGAGGCCATGGCTAGTAGGTTAGAGGCCATCGCTATTAGGTTGGAGGCCATCTTGGTGGGTAAACACTTTCATTTTCGCAGGTCATAACAGGTCCAACTTGTCCAGGGTGTTACCTTCAGGTGAGAGGCTTATCGTGTGCCGCCGTCCGAACGCCTAGTCTTTGAGGTGCTTTTGGCTTCCTCTGATTGCCACACCAAGCTTTCCTCAATTGCACGCAGAGTCTCTTTAGCCCCTTGGGTTTTGTAATGCCTTGGTTCTGAAGTGCAATTGCCCAGGACTAAGTCAATTGGCATGACATTGTAAAGTTTTGGACAGTATGTATATAAAGTGAAATCAAGAAAAGATCCAGGAAGCTTGATGGAGGATACCAGTCCACGTGTCCCCTTGCCGTGGTACGTTGCACACCCAAGGTCACCACTGTGATGGATGTGAAGAGCCGGGTGGATGGACCTACTGTGGCTGATCAAGGCAAAGGCAATACACTGGCCTATACCTTCTTCACTTCTGGCACCACCGGAAAGCCCAAAGGAGTAATGGCGGCCTGGCAGACTGGACATGCGAGGCAAGAGTCTAGAGATGAGCTGAAGTGACCGCTGTGTAAAGCGTGAATTGATAGAATTAAAGTTATGCATTCGTGACTCACCAGGGCCGGCCTTTGCTGCTGTTGTTTGAACTCAGGTAGAGAACAAAGGCTTGGTGCCTCGTCCAAAGATGGATATAATCTCTCTAAACCGATTAATTTTGCTGAAGTTGGCAAAGCGTGAATTAGGGACGACCACATGCCTTTCCGCAAAAAGAAACATGTGTGGATTAGCAGCAGATCTACTTTAATTGCTGGGTCTTTCATCATGTCGAAGGCACAATGTCGTGCCAGATGCGCAACTCCATGTCAAGTTGCAAAACTCAAGATTCCGTTTTCGTGGCCTTTTGCGGCGTTGGCCGAGTCGCCCAGGTACATCGCATTCATTGGTTCCAGCAGCGCTGGCCCTTGCATCCTGGAGAGGGCATTGTCTCCAAGGTGCATCCGTCTATGTCCCGTCCCAGGGATCCCCGCACACAGAAGAAGTGGGTTTGGAGGGCCAACTACCTACGCACCAGTCTTTGGCATTTTTGCACAAGGGCCAGAATGTACAGTAGCTTATGGGTATTCACTTCCGAAACAGTCAGTAATTGTGCCAGGCTTCTCAATCATCCACCTCACCTGACTCAGCCTCAATGCCTCATCCCGTCGTCGGGATTTCCCCTGTGCAGGTGGCGTACACCTTCGGCCTGTCGGAATGGGAAATCTTTTGGCCTCTGACGGCTGGCGCGACATTGATCCTGGCTCCACCAGGCGACGCCAACGGCAACCTAAGAACGATGGCCTCCAACCAAAGAGCGATGGCCTCCAACCTAAGAGCGATGACCTCGAACCTAAGAGCGATGGCCTCGAACCTAATAGCGGTGGCCTCGAACCTAAGAGCGATGGCCTCCAACCTAGTACAGTGGCCTCCAACCTACTAATAGCGATGGCCTCCAACCTAGAATGTATAGAATAGAAGTGGATTGCTAGTGGTCCTACAATGTCCTACAGTTCATAAGAACGGGTTGCATGCTCTCTTGGGATTGCAAGAGTTCACCTGCATGTTCGGGCAAGTCCGTCCACAGTTACCAATCAAAAACTGAAAACCAATATGTGCACATGCGCGCAAGCGCGGTTATCACTTCTTGTCACATTGTTCATTTCTTTTGATAAGACATTTAAATTGGAATGTCTCCACGCAAACCCTTGGCGAAAGCGTTGGGGGCGTCGTCCACCAACGTAGTTTGCTCGACGGGGGGGATTTGAGATACTTAATCTCAGTTTCCACCCTTCTTTTGGGACCCATTGGTTCTCTTTGTGAGGTGGTGAGAAGGATGCGGAGTATTTGCTACGTCGTGCCTGCAATGCCTTCACCCCACCTTCGCCTCAGGAGAATGCTTGCACGGTGGGAAAAGCAGGAAAATGATATGAACTGTTCCGCTAACGTAGACCGTTGATTTCAATACTCATCGGGAGATGTAAAACCATTCTGAGGTTGGGATAGGAAGTGACCAGTTGGATTTAGCGAGGTCGAAGGATGTCGAAGGGAATGTCCCGCCTTTCCACCTTTTGACTCGTTGGCTTGAGTGTTACAAGTTGCAGGAGCGTTTGATACCTGGAAAGGGGCCATCACCAGAAAATGTGCACTACGTGGCAGCTCACGTGTTTGTGCCGGCCTCATCCAGCCTGGAGCTGTTTCAACCATCCACAAAGTTTTTTGGTTTCTGGTCGCTTCGAAGCTGCGGAAGGCAATGATGGTTTTCAGGTGCCGTCGATGTTGCACATGGTCTTCGATAAGTACGATGAGTTGGAGGACGGGATCCATGGCATACGACGGCAGTCATTTGTGAGTCAGTTATTAGGTTACCGCGGCAGCAGACATTTGTTGTGAACAAAAACACATTGGATTCTTCAGGAGGAAGATATGCAAAGAAAAGCAGGAGAGCATCACGCAGATGGCTTCCCAGCGGCAAGGCGTTGTTCGGACGTCCAGTTTTCTAGTAGTATAGTCGAGTCTAGTATGTAGGCATATGATGCGTGAGAGAAGTTTCCCGGAGTTTTCCTGAGAGGCTTGCTGCCCGATTGTTGTTAACCTTGCTTCAATAACCATCAATAAGTACAAGTTGTTGAAGTCGGAACTAGACTCAGACACACTACAGCCAAATGGAAGAACGATCTTTCTGCTGATCCTGGCCCGAAACCATTCGATACCGAAGGAAGTTGCTCGGTACAGTGTGATAAACGCGGATGGTTTGCTGCAGTAATCTGCAGTCTATCTACATATTTTTCTGATATGTGTAACTATACATATACACACATCGATGATACAAAACACAATGCATACTATATATAATATCAATATCCACTTATTCATCCGACTTCGGACACCGCACGTCGGTCTGACCGAGGAACCTGGTGGCATCACTCCAAAGCTCGGGAGATCGTCACCTGTGGCGAAGCCTTGAACCCATCCTTGGCACAGCCACTTGGAGGTCTCAGCGTTGGGTTTCGGCTTTTGGCCAAACTTCTTCGGCTCCAAACTTCGGACTGACCCCTTGGGGAAGTCCTAGAGTGCTTGGAGCATAGTAAGGACTACCGTCTCAGAAACCTGATGTTGTCACTTGACAACATGGCAAAGCCGCCAACACCAGTGGCTGTGTAGGATCAAGACTGGCAACATCGAACAACCGATGTAGCTGCAGATGTTTTCGGGGAGATGAGCAGTCAACAAATTGGACAGTCTTTCTAATTGGCATTATTCTTTCAATTTCTTTCACAGGCTCAAGCCGTTGCAACTGAATGCCAGATGACCCAGGGCACCACATTGTCACCACATTGTTCTTTAACTGCAACTTTTATAGAAGTGATGTGATTCCTGTTCAAGTTCTCCCAAGAACACCAATCACTCACTACGAAGACACTTAACTGGGTTTGGCATTGATACTATTATTAAACATTACTGACTGTTTGATGCTTAATTGAAATTGCTTATTCCAGCATATGCCAGCTGAAAGGGATAGAAGGGAAGGAGGCCAAGAACATGTGTGATTTGTTAGTCTTCAAAGCACCCATGGTGTCCATTAACCCATGAATGGTTTTTTTTGTGCCTGTGACTGCCGAGAAAGGGGATTCTGTTGACCGAAGGAGCTGCTGGGAGACTCATCAGCGGTCCGAGTTCGGTCAGCGGAGTCCTTTCCCTCGCCACAGTGAACCTCAACAGGGCGTGACTGTCACGCGCAACGAACGCAACACATCAACAGGGTGTTACAACTACCACAGGAGGGATTGTGGCCTGCCCGGAAGTGGGTTACAACTCAGGAAGATGTTCTCCCGCTTCCACCACTGCACGCTGACGAACTTGTATGGGCCGACAGACACTTGGACGACAGAGATCGATCGAAAACATGTTGGGCCGTATTCACATTAATGGCGGCTCAAACTCCAACTGCCTTATCTCTCCTGTGAGTATTAACAGAAATCGGCTCATAACCTGGGGAATGTGAAGTACATTGAGGTTAGTTATCTTGGCTCATCCAGACGTTGGTCGCAGCATTTGCTGAAGGTCCTGAACGAATCCAAACAATGCTTACAAAGACCTTCAAGAGCCAGAGAACTTATGAGAAGAAAAAGAGCCCCTGTGCGTTCATGGGCCCTGCTCAAGGAAAGGGCTTGTGCAACCTGCAGGGCACAAGCATTTACTAGTTTATAACCTTCTGGTTCTTTTCCCATTGTTCATAGCTCACCTCCGAACCTTCACCATTGTCTTCGAACGACGACGACGACGAAGGAAGGCGAGATGACCTACTGGGACGTCCCTCAGGGCCGGGCCGTGCTGCGGGTCTCTGCGGGCGCTCCAATGCATGGTTCTAAGGCGAGAGCACATCCTGTTTGGGGAGCAACAGTCTTTCAATATAGACAAAACACTCTTTCAATGCATGAACTAAAAGGGTTCACCTATTGGTTCACCCTTCTGATTACAACTATCTCCTGTTTGGGGTCACTAGTTGATACAGTAGCATATGATATATATGATATATATTTATGGGCTGTGAGCCAGAAACTACTCAGGAGAGAACAAGACTTGTAACACCTGAAGCTCCCAGGAAGATCTTAATGACTGTAAATGGGCAAGAAAACACGTGGGCGGTGCAGGAGTCTTCAGTTGGCAGATCCCGTTGACCAAAGTTGTTTCAAGATGAAGCAGGGAAGAAGTTACGGTGGGAGAGCCTGTGGGATAGTAGAACTGGAATTCTTGTGGTGGTGAAATATGTTATTTGGGAGATGTTCAGCGAGGATTGACTGTTTGATACTGTTCGAACATGTTTGTCTCCAGAACTCCACAGAGGTCTAAATAGTACATATTAGATTATATTAGTAGCACCTTGGCAAAACAAGTGGCACTGAACCCTACATCCAAGAGGGTCGCTCTGCGGTTCAGGCGATCACCGTGTGTGGCGAAGCGCATCTGTCTCAAAAGAACTCACACCACAAAGCATCAGAAAACTGGATGGTAACGATCATATTGAATCATATCTGATCATTGTGGATCATTATGGTTTCCTTTATCTATGGATCATATCTGATATTCACCGGGCATGAAGAAGAACCCAACCTTCCATGTTCACCGACCGGAGACCTCCGGGCAGGTGGTCCTCACCGACCTCCGAGACCACCGACTCTCCGCCGCGAGCCTGGAACCTGCAGAGATCGCCTTCGGAGGACCCTTCATCGCGCGTGGCTACTTGGGGAGGCCGGGTCGACAAAGGACGGGGACGAGCCCTGGGTTCAGCATGGGTTGGAAGCATTGAGAACGGGGGGGTTCATGTCATAAGGGGGGGGGGGGGGGGTAGGGAAAAACATTGGGAGTTCAGAACCTGGATGATCCTGGATGAATGTTAAATTATGTTAATATTACTGTAATGATGGAATGCTGCACATCAATGGGGATAGTCCAAAGGACTGGTGAAAGGGGGCTAGGCCTCAGACGGTCCAATCCTTGGTGGCTTGGTGGTGCTTCGCTGCCGATTTCTTGTCATCATGGTGGCTGCTTTGAGACCACGATAGCCACATCACGAATCACAAAGTGGTGTTTAATGAGGACTGCTCTGTGAAAAAAAACATCGAGGATCATGCCTCTTTTTTGGCATAATTACTCGCTATATATCCTAGTTTTTTATGCGGTGTCTTTAGATAATCACACTGTTTCGGTAGCTATAGAACAAAGGGATATATAACACTTAAGTGTTTTGACACAATTGCATCAACATGCGTCCCTTGTGGCACTAATGATTTGTTACAGGTAGGTCTTCCGCAAGTCTTGAATCATGTCTTGCTGTACGCATCTCATTCTTTTGTTATTGTTTTCTTTCTGTCTTTCTTTCAAGCCATTGTTCCGCTGCCCGCTCCGTTTGGGGCCCATCGGGACAGAGAGTCCTCTCGAGGCCGGATCTGGATGCGAAGGCCTTCGTCCCCGACTTCACGGCCTCGGAGCCCTCCGAGGCCACGGACTCCACGACGCTCACTGGCCCCTTGGAGGGAGAATGGAATGAACGAAGGAAGGCCCCAGGAAGGAGCTGGAGGTGTGAAGATGTGTGAAGTGAGAGCGAATTTGAAAAGCACTGACTTGGCCAAGTGGATCCCAATGGCCTATTTGTACTTCTGGGAGAATTGCGCCAGTCCAGCTGGCCTAAGAGTGAGGAGAGCATCGAAGAATCGTTTTGGGATGAGCGAAAGGTCGCCGGGCTCCCCTGTGAGGATCGACGATTGGAAGCACTCCGATGAGCATTGAGAACTGCGAGGACTAGAAACAACTTCTTTGCCAATCAGAATGTATGAGTCATGCAGAACGAGCAGCTTAATTCACATGTCACAAAATGTCTAATCTATATGTGCTTGGAGCATCTTTGAGCATGTGGAAAGCATGTAAAGCTTACTGAATGCAAAATAAGCTTCTTCACAACCATACTTTGGATAGGCCCTTGCCACATGAGATGACATGAATCCACCACAGTGTTAGACGTTTGTTGCAGCAAATGCAGTAGGAATGGTAGACCAAAGCTGGAAGAAAATGTGACACTAGGAATTCTGGTCAAGAAGCGGCAACTTAAGTTACAGTTACAACGTTTATTTTTGATTGTTTTTGTGTGTTTTCTTTTTGAAGGCAAGAACACATAGGAAATGAGATTGGTACTCAGACAGAGGTGCGCTCTGTGAATGAACATTTTCTTGCACATCACATCAAGTTGAATCTGCATAGCGCTATGAGAACTTCTGTAAGAAACTCGTGCGTTTGAACTGGCGGAATTTTCATTATACTATTTTGTATTTTAGATTGGAAGTTCAACTACTGCAAGCAGAAACATACAACAAATCAGATACGCAGACAACAACAGGTATGTGCATGTTTTGTGAGTTTGGGTGCTGGTTTGATATGCCATATCATGCAGTATTTGGTTCTCTGACTTTTTAAGTAACGTAACCCAGCTAACATGTACTTTAACTGTTATTGTACCGTTTGCATTTCTGTTAACAGAATATGCGACATTATTCAAAGGAAACACGGTAGATCAGTTGTCAGGAACAGTTTGCCAGCTCTCCATGACATCAGGAGGGATCCAACACTCCTCCCACGAAGCTTTCAGATCGTTTGTACATGACAGGCTTGGGCAGAGAAGTTTGCAGGGCAGGGAGGCTGACCAGCAAATGGCGAAGTAGAATGGAACACTATTCCAAGACATAGTCAAATTCCATTTTGTGGTACTTCCGTTTTTGTGGATTCTGTGACATTCTGTGAAATGTTGCCATGGCTGCAGGTGACTTGGGACGCTGGCGAGAAGGTGGCATGATTGACCTGCTGGGCCGCAAGGACTTTCAGGCACAGCTAAATTTGCTTGTTGTTCCAAAAGGAGGCGTGCAATGAAGCTACGCCATTTGAGAACACCAGATTTTCCCAGTTCGCAGAGAGAACACAGAGCCTATTCGCTTCTGACCCTCAGAGATCCATGTCCACTTTCAAATTCGATTCGATGTCCCCTTGATGTCCGCTTTCCAGGTGAAGTTGCGGGGTTTTCGCATCGAGCTGGGCGAGATCGAAGCCGCCTGCCGTGCAGCTGGAGCGCGGGCAGCGGTCTGCGTCTTGCGCAAGAGTAGGAATGGCACACAGGGGCTGGTGGCTTACTATGAGCCAGGCCTGGTGCGAGGAGCTTGTGAGAACCCTGCGTTGCTTTTTTTTTTCAGGATCTGGAAAAACATGTCACCGAGAAAATGGATGCACATATTCGCACGATCAATTCGTCATGTTATTGTTATATTTTGATTTTGCCTTGTCATTGTTCTAACTTTTTGTTCACACACACATACTGCATTGTTTGAACATTTTGTCACACTTTTACTGTAATTCTGTAGTTGACATGATGTTTCCATATTCTTGGACCTCCCAAGCTGCGGGCACAGTTGAAACCTGGCCAGGTCCGGACCAGGAGGTGCCGGAGCCGGCCGTGCGCGCCTCGTGCCAGAAGTCCTTGCCGCCCTACATGCAGCTGCATGGTGTGCATGGTCTTAGGCTTCGGCATGGGCGGCGTGGGCGGAACATCAAAATCGCGATTCTGGCACCCTTTTGAACCACAGCCAGTAGAATTGAGCTACAGCTACTGTGTTGCTACAGTAGGAGCATTTTCTTTGTCAAAGGAGCTGGCAGATGAATAGATTCACACAAGAAGCCCTGCCCTTTGGAGCAGGTCGGAATATATAGTTACGAAATGTCTACTCTTGATTGATCGTTCAGAACCCTGCTCTAACTGAGCAGTCTTGTTTATATACTTTATTCGGCAATCTTTGTGGCAATCCGCAATCCCAGATGGTTATCCGCTGCACTCTGGACTTCTTCCGCTGCGTTTCCCTTCAGAGTTCGACCAGTCATCACATGTCACCGCTGGCGGCCACCTGAGGCCACAAGTCATCATGCGCATGGAGAAGCTGCCGAGGAATAGCAATGGTAAGATTGACCGACCCAAGCACCTGGATTGCAGATTGGTCGCTGGGGCCGTTGGACGAAATGAAATGTCGAGCCTGAAGATGTTGAAATATCGATCCATCGATGGATCCATCCATCCATCCATCCATCCATCCATCCATCAAATTGATAAACATATTATATTAAAACAAAAAAACATCATCAGAGTTTGAAGCTTAGTGGGATCCCGCACCCATTTGCTGTAAGCAACATCAAAACGACAGATCTTCCAAGTCAGCATTTCTGAGTCTAAGAATTTGGGCACCATCTGGCCACCTGACCGGGGGATCTCCCCAGCCTGCCCGGCAGGCTGCCCGAGCCACCGACCATGACCTCACCAGCGGCCTCTGCGAGCCCCCCGGAGACCCCGGTGCAGAAGACAACTGCGGCCACCATTGCAGAGATCTTAGGCAAGAAGTGTTTTGGGCACGTCAATCATTGTGAATGCACTGGTTCCGTACAAACCGTGAGAGGAGAGGGCGATCATACAAGGGGCCTGGCGTTCCACGAAGAACAGAAGAGGTACACACCCTCCGCACGCTATCTTGGGGTCTATCAAGGCATGCAGTGTGTAAAGACATATCTCGTCCCAATATCGGTACTAGTAGCAAGAAGCTACTAGGTGGAGGCCATCGCTATTGTATAGGTTGGAGGCCATCGCTACTAGTAGAAGGCTAAGGACAACTATGGAGCTCCTTCTTCCTAAGGCTGGGCCATCCCCACACTCCACATGCGCTTTGGGTCGTGCTCAGCGCTCGCAGGTCTTCCTGTGAGCGCTGTGCACTTGGACTCGGACTTCCAGGAACTTGGTGGGAGCAGCTTGGTCGAAACCGTAGCCTCTGGGACGCTGTATGCCAGTCGGTCAGTCGAAAACAGTTTGTCACTGCCAAGAGGGTTCGGAGGAGGTCTTTTTTTTGTAGCAGCCCAAACGGCCTTCCTGCTTTCGTTGGTGATTGTAAGTAGGACTTCGAAAAGGAAAATAGGCGGCAATCCCTTGGCTAGCTTGAACTCAACAAAGAAGTGGTTTAAGACGTTTGAAACGCAAGGCACGCATGTGCCCTTGAATATGATTGCATCATATTGCATCAAAATCCAAAACACATGCCTTCTTGCCAGCATGTTTGTTTTTTGTTTGTTACCCTTGCTGTTCCGAATGTCTTTCCGTTTGCCAGATAGCTTGCTGATGGGCCGGGCCAGCACTGCAATCAAGAAGGCATTCAAATTGAGCAACTTCAAAGGGACTGCGATGTACCAGTTGGGATCTGTGCGACGAGTCTTGGAGCGACTACTTCGAGGATTGTTCGGTTGGTTCTGCAAGGAATGTTCTCCAAGCCCTGGAGTGCCATGTCAGGACCCAATGTTCATCGAATGCTCTCCAATTTTGTGGATCACAACTTTGAAACGTGGACTCAGCGTGGACTCATTGACGGTCTTTGACACGCTGTTGGCCGAGGAATCGCTGGAGCCATTGAGTCAATGCTGGAGCGGAAGCCCAAAGAGGTGGAAGAGAGCCCCATTTGACCGATCCTCAGTTTCTCTTTTCCAGAGAGATTCATCATTGGACCAAGCAAATGATGTTCCATTTGTGCTTATAGCTTGGGAAAAATCAAGAATACATGAATTTAACATGCTTGCCTTCGAACATTGACACATGGGCCCACACTGAAATTAGTTTGGGATTCCGGGATAGCCTGTGTTGACAGCACGCCCGTACTACAGTTCAAATTGAATGAGGAATGGATCAAGTCCAAACATGTTGCAAGTTTCGATCTTCGATACCATGAGACTGATGAAACTCATCTGGACCATCATGGCCCCACAGGCAGCTCGAGCTTGTCCATGGCACAGCTCCCACGCCGGACTCAGTGCAGTTCCACATCTTTCTGCTCGCTTTGCATCCAGGGCATCAGTGTGCCTCAACGTAGAGACACCGGAGCTCGAGCTTGGGATGTTTCGATCGGATATCGCACAGAGTCTGTGAAGATGAAGCTAGGGTGATGGGTAGCACATGGTGGCACTGTGGCACTTCACAAGTCTAAAGTTCAAGTTTATGGGTTTGCTTGCCATGGTCTGTCGTGAGAAATAGTGGGAGGCCATTGGTATTAGGTAAAGTTGCTGGAGTTGTTCCAACTTTAGACCCGCTCTCGGATGGTGTGAAGAGTGGCCACTCTACGCAGGTCTTTTGCATGAACTTCCTCTTTCAAAGCCAGGCGATCGGACGGTCGGCTCAATGTAGGGTCTGTAGCGGTTGCCAAAGCTGTGCCTGGCGTTTCATGTTTCAATCCAGTTTAACTTTGCCTAAAGATGTTGGCGAGGCGTGGTCCCCCATTTGGTGGGCAGCATGGTTCATCTACGAGACGCTCGGCTGACTCGGCTCGGAACGTGCCGTGTTGCCTGGAATCAACCGTTTACGACGCGAAATGCCTATGGCTGCGGGAATGGGTATAAAAGGTTGTGAAACGAGAAATGACCAAACAATTAAATTTAGGAGGTGAATGTAAACCAGAATCAGTTGATGAATCAAGCTTTACTGGTAAGATCCAAAACAGGGATGAAGAGACATATTATTGCAATAATCTATAGTACATTCTTTAATGTACACGTTTGGCAAAGCAGTGACCAAACACCAGGCGCGGAAACTTAGCAAGCTTAATATGATGGGCTGCACACACCGCCCAGTGAATGGCAAAGCATGGCAAAGCGATGCGTCTCACATCGTTGGCGCTTTTCGTCAACAAAGTAGAAAAGGCACATGTAACCATTGAGGCAGGCTTCGGTGACACAAGGCGGCAAAGAGACCACATTGGCAGCAAAGCCTCACCGCATAGCTCATCACAAGAGTTTGAAAGCGAATCCTTCAGAACCCAACGTGCAAGAAATGCTTCAGAGGGTATTGTAAGTGTCCGTAGAACGCAACGCGCACATGCCAAGTTGAGACAAGTATTGTTTTGCATTGAAGTATATACCAAGAGGCACAAGAAAGAACAGTCGTCAACCGCACTGAGCAAGAAGCCCTGGCCGCATGGAGAGCGCACGTCCACGACATGCCCACCAAGAACATCTATATATATATGAGCGACGGACAAAATTATTGGTTGACTTATTTAGTCACGGCATGACCCTAAACCTATGTTGAGGACTTCGTTTCTGTGGAAAACGATATGGTCCCCACCAAAAACGATAATCTTGTTGAGACGTACTGTAGTGGGTACAAAGACGTTTGTGGTTACAATATGTTATTGCATTTGCATTTGCATGTTTATTTGAGCTAAACCGATGGGCACAACTTTTCACCAATGATAACCCCAGACAACTTCCCAAACGATAATCCAAACGATAAGCAAACGATAACCTAAATGTCGCGCCAGTCACTCCGTAGACCTACTTCTCCACATTACTAGTGACTAGTGTTTGTTCATGGGCCGAGCTACTAGGTCCCCGCTTATGTGTTGTGATCCTTGCACAGCCCAGTGCCACAAGAACCCAAGTGCATAAATCAACTGCTGTGCCATTCCTGTCAGAAAGCACTGTAAGCCTCTAAGACTCTAATCTGAGGTTGTGAGTTATATTTTATGTTTTAGTCTATGTGCCGGTATGCTATGCTAACTGCGGTTTGGAGAAACATTGGAGAACGATATGGACCCCACCAAAAACGATAATCATGTCAAATGGTATTTGGCTACACAAGTAATTTTGTCCGCTGCTCATATATCTTCAATCAACGCTGAGTTTGACATAGATCCCTCGTGGCGAAGCATACAGTCATCGAACAATTGTCTTGACCACTTGACCACCACTCATAGACAGGAGACAGGATCTTGAAGACATGTCCGTGAACAAGCCGGTGAGTGATTCAATAATCCCCCTCCAAGTGTGCGAAGAAAAAACAACATATAGAAAAAACATATAACAAGACCATCAACGTGTTTGCGGCACTTGTGCCTAGTGCCATGATGTGCCATGATCCAACCTCAACACCCCCCCATGCAGGATTTCGGTGCAGGCTGGCGCACCGGAAGGTTTTGAGCCACAGTGCCTGGCCCCCAAATGCGAGACAAGACACAGTATTCACACACCATTACATAAGCTGTTTGGGATTCCTACAATGTTCATCAGTTTCGTAATGTTTAGTTATCTTTAATAATGTCTGTATATTTCATCAAAGTTCATTGGGTCACCACAAGCGGTTTTTCTGAAGCCAAGGTACTATGGGAGAAACGCTCTATTTGTATACTTACCCATTGCTGCGGCCTTGGATATTGTGACTTGGCGGAAATGGGAAACAGACACTTTTCTGGCTGCTGAGAAAAGCAACTGTTTGCCGTGCAGGTCATGATGTTTAGCTTTGTGGTGCTCCTGAAATGGCTCATCCTCGGACGTGTGAAGCCAGGCTTGATTTGGGACAGGGAATGCTCAGTGGAATGTTGGAGGTCGGATGAGATTGGCAATGTGGCGATCGGTCCAATCGGTCGGATGTCATATAGAATCGCCTGTGAGGCTTTGATCTACAGTAGTCCCAAGCGCTAGTAGGAGCGATCGGACGCTACTAGGGGCTCCTGGCCTTACTACTAGGAGCAAGAAGCTACTACTAGGAGCAAAGGGCATCGCTACTAGGAACAAGAACGCTACTAGGCTACTAAGCAAAATTCATGCCCAATTGTAGATGTAGCAAGTTGTCCCTTCTTCATTGCCTCGATGGGATGCTGCCTCGATGGTCAGCTCAAGCAGCGCTCGTTCCAGGCAAGATTGAGCTTTGGTCTGGAGTTCCTTGGATTGGATTGAAGCTGACCTGCCTCGCTTCCTCACGGCGGGAGGTGACTAATCCTGCACCAGCCTGAAGCCATAAAAGATAAACCATAGACACAGCTGCCTGATCCACAGTTTTGGCTCATCAATGGTGTAGCATAGAAGCATCTACTTGGAGTTTTAGTTTTTGTTGCTGTTTTGGTTTGGCAACATTGCCAATAGTATATATATATATATATATTATTGACCGTGACATACATCAGAACCATCTATTTTTCGCTGCATCATATACAGTTGTTGGTCTTGAACCCGAAGCCTTCACACAATTCTGCCCTATAGTTCAGAACTGTTGTTTTTGTGGCATCTGGATTCGTCGAGGAGTACTACCGCTGGTGGTTCGTGAACACCTTGTTGAAACACTCGCTGGATCAAGCGCTGCCACTGATCGCAGATACCTCTGTGGCAAATTGCCTACTCCGCGCGCTGGGCATCATGGCAATAGATTTCAGCCTTGTCCTTGTGTCACTGTGCTACTGTTTAGCTACGGGCACCTGATTTGATGAATGTCCACAACCAGCGGAGCGTTCCATTAACATGAAGAAGGTTGAAGTGGATAGACTGCACATTTTGGAGGAGATGGTCACCAGCCAAATCACGGGAGTGTACCCACACACTCCAACCCATACATTCGATTTAAGAAAAGAGACAGATCGAAATATTTGCCCACTGGCGTGTTCCCTTTACGCTTGACTGGAAATCAACCGACCCCTGCTTTCACCAAGTTTACAGAATTTGCTTGTGCTGAGGAGCGAAGATTGGTAAAGGAGCCAAGATCAGTATCTTGGCCAGGACGGCGTTTCGTGGATGCCCTGGGCATTGGCTGAACTCTAGAGATGAGCGAGCGACTTTGGATGACCTTAGATGCAGCTGGTTCTAGCTGGTTGCGAGTGTATTATTGGTGCGCGGGTGAATCTCGATTTGTCCCTCGTATAGACAAAACACAGAAAGTGCGGCGTTGGATTCAGGTCCGTGTGATTTTCCTAAATTTATGTTTGTGACTTCCTTTTGATCGTCCATACTCAGAGGTTTTTCTGGTCTCACTTCATTGTAGACTGTGGTCATTTATGGTCCTTTCTGGTTCCAGGTTGGACACTCAAAGATCCGTGGTTAACGGATCTCAGCGGTGGTGCATTGGCAGGTCGATCCAAATCTCCAGCATCAGGTGTTTAGATTTCATTACAGTAGGTTTCTTAGCCTCACTGCAGGGACCGACATTGAGATGAACCACAAGGACATCAGACGACACCAGATGACACCATGGCCCCGCCCCATGACACCATGCGCTCCATCTACGCCTAGGTGTTTTTGCACTTCATGACCCCGACCTTTTGGAGGTGGGCGCTTATGCAACCATTGGCACCTCGGCACGTGGTTTCCCGTTGCATCGGTCGAAATCCCCGTTGTCTGTGCGGTCCCTCCGAGGAAAGCGTGCAAAGCTGGCCACTTCAAGCGTGCTTCATGGACAAGTGCATTTGAGCTATATTCGAATAGGCCCGGACGGGATTCGGGCTGCCAAATTCACCTCACTCGAGCATGGCTAACAGCATCGCCCCCACAGAGCATCGCTGGCCTTGCTTCACGCCAGGTGAAGGGGCGGCTGTAGGGCCCACCGCTGTCTTATCACAAGACACAGTGGTACCTGATCGGAAGGCAGTGGTGCCGCTGTCCACCATGCCAGGCACAGGGACAACGGACTGATCTGATGCCTACGGACTGATCTGAGTCATTTGACAAACAATACTCGCTTCAAACTTCAAACATCCCATCGACATATATATATAATGTTATATAATTAGTAACATAGAAAAATAATGAAAAATCATTACAAAACAGGCAGAAGGAACAGGAAGGGAACAAGACAGTCGAACAAGAAATGCAAATCGAACGGCCGCCCAGTTTGGCAACACTGTTTTAGGCCAGGAAATCAACCGGATAAGGAACTGATAGAAGGAGTAGGACAAGTTGTGGCTTAGGAGATTTTAGGAATATTTCCTGCTGCTTTATTTGCACGTTTGCTTTGCTATTCTGTTATTTTCTTCGCAGGGGATGTCTTTCCTTGAAGTTGAGTTTCTGAGACGTAGAACTTGTAAACGCTACTAGGGGCTCCTGGCCTTACTACTAGGAGCAAGAAGCTACTAGGGGCTCCTGGCATCGCTACTAGGACCAGGAGCAAGGACGCTACTAGTACCAGTACTTTTGGCCCTTCGACATTGTAACTTAACATGCACATGTGCCTCAAAAGAAACGGACTGTCGGTGACGCAAACACTTGGGGTACATATATGGTCCCCCCATAAAATGGACCAGCAGAACATAGCTAAACATTCTTAAGGAGACAACGGAACAAGCTTGTCACCCAAGGCTGGCACGGCCCCGTGGGGTCCGTGGCCTTCCATGATGCCCAGCCGGCCCGAGCCTCCGCCACTGGGCACGGAAGGCAAACGTTGGAACGGAAGCCTGCGAAACGTTGGGGCGATCTCCCAAAAGGATGAATATATCCGATTCATATTGCTGCTCCTGGGGGCAGGGTTCCCTTTGTGAACCAAACCGAATGAGGCTTTCTAGGCTCCTTTTTACAGGAAAGCCAACAGTGGATTGGAGTGAGGATCTATAGGGTATACTGTGCTAGATTACGCTAGATGGTAGATCTAAGATTTGAATGTATATATTTGATACTGTCATGTAGCTTCGGTCACGCGTGAAAGCCAAGAATGCAGGCAGGTGCATGATGGTGCATGTTACTAGCACCTGTGTTAAGTCGTCTGGTCTTAAAGAAAGTCGTTTGGATGCTGCGTTTACATTGGGGTTAGATGCAAGATGGCAATATAACTGGAAGAGTGTCAGGTCAACAACAGTGCGTTTACATGCGGTTTAGGTGCACGATGTCAATCTCATTGGAAGATAGGCTTTGGAATATCAGTTCAACACCATTCAACCATTGTTTGGATGATTTGGATGCTTCGTTTCCATGCAGGTTAGAGGGAAGGTGACCAAAAAGTGATTTGAAGATCATCGACGTGGGTAGGTGGATACAGGGGCAATGAATTCTTGATGTTTAGCAGTTTTGACAACCATACATCCGTAGAGTGTTCACATGGTGTTTTAACATAAAACGGGTGACTTTGTGCAAGCCGGGTGACTTTTGACTAGTGCTGCGTTTACATGCGGCCGGGTGACTTTCTGCAAACCCGGGTGACTAAACCCCGTCGCTAGTATGGCACCGCATTGGGTTTGAGTTTGTGTTTCATCCCCATAGGGTTTCTTGAGCTTGCTTGACCATCCACACAGCATAGTCCAATATTGCAATATTGGACTGATATAGATAGACAACTCTACAGTTGTTGGCTTGGATGTGTCCGGTGCCATCTCAGGAACAATTTCATCGGAGGCAAAACCTTTTGCGCATTGTGTTTGGCCTGCCTGCTGTATTGATGGCGGAGGTCCTCCCGCTTCTTGGTTTGATTTTTGTTCTGTCTAGGAGTCTAACAGTGTTGCTAACAATGAAAAGGGAATTCAGCATGCTTGAGTATGAGTTCACAGCCGAAGTCCAACGTAAGGTACTACGCGACCTATTTTGTCCTAGTGTGGACCTACGATGGTCTATATGATGACAACCCTCTCACTGCCTTTACCATATGGAGTGTTCTGCTCTCTTGGATCTATGCTCATCCGATGTGGTTCTTCCGCATGGTCGTCGTGATTCTGCAAAAGTGGTTCCTCATAGGCGCCCAAAGCTCTGAAGCTGTGCGTACTCTTGGGGGGGCTTTGGCCTTTACAGTACTTTACAGGCAGCAACACAGAAAACATCTCGAGAGATGACTGGGGATTGTCTGGGGTCACCACAGTCATTGGAATATTAGATCTTTGGCAACATTTTGTTGATCCTGGCAGTGTGACACAATTATATAGGTTGACGGTTCTCAATGAACAATTCTTTTCTTCACCCCATGGACTTGGCCATACTGCAGGCACATGTCCAGCGACTCGCGACTCGCGCACGGACTTCCGTTAGCACCGTCGCTTTTTTCGGTAGGCGACTTCCGAAAGCAGAAGAATGATGAGCTGAGCCACTGGAAAGAGTGGAAACATTGGGTCCATGGCCGCGCTGTGGAGTCACATGACTTTGAGGAGTGGCACCATTGTGGAGTCTGCAAAAGTTGCACATGTGACTGGGGACCATGACCTGTTCAAATGAAACGTACAGAAGAATGGATCATTCTGACTTTCCATGTTTTCCAGAACATCATTGAATCATGACTCTGCGAACAAGCACGAGTTCTTCTACACTGAGTTCTTCTACAGGAGCTTTGCGAACTCTTTACCAACACGGAGTTCCTCTCGTACATCTATCGGGCCTTGGGCACCAAGATCGGACGACGGGTGCAGATCGATCAGCTGCTGTTGATCACCATGGGGATTCAACGAGCAGTGAGGTGAAGCCCAAAACCGGTGGATTTAAGATGGGAACACCGGAGGATCCACAAACCAAAGGATTTACGTCTATCAGTATTGCTTGTATGTATGATACTATATGATATACAATTCCCAAATTGCTCCTTTACCAGCCGCTTCTCGGCCGACGCTCGTTGTTGGAGTTCGTAACGGGCCAGGATGCTGCTCCAGTGAAACCGGTTCGAAAGGCTAGGCTGACAAGTTCAGAAACGGCCTTTACATGGGTTGTTTTGCGCAAGTCACGTCCAAAGTTTTCTGCGTCAAGGCTACATTTCATTGAAAACGACTGCGTGAACATTGATGATTACGTGGTCTTTGGCAGTGAAGTCATGCTGTGCACAGACATGCACGCACCCTGGGTTCCGCTGGAGTACAGCAGAAAAATGGATAAGAAGCGAGGCCAGTGCGCGTGGACCTGATTGGTTTGTTGAGACGTGTTGCTAAGGGTGTAAGGTCTACGTTACTTCTGAGCTGAGCCCACGGAGAACATGATGGAAGGGAGAACATCGGAGAACAATGGAAGAATGCGGGAGACATAATAAATATACAGTATCATGATGAACATGATTGTAGCAAGGATTTCCGCAACTGAAGGTCTCTTTGGATGGCATTTACTTGGTTTAGACATGTTTGGATGCAGGACCAAAGCAGCGCTTTGCAGACATCAAAATCTGCAATGCAGCGAACGTCCTAGACCACTGCACACTCCTTCCTGGTGTCACAGTTGCAGAGCGAGCATCTTGGCAGTAGTGCATTTTCCTTGGGAGAGCAAAGTAGAAAACATATCAAAACATAAGAGCATGGGGCAGAACCCTAAACGGATCAAAACAGTATTGTCAGAAAGGATCACGGTAGCGATACCTCGCGCCTCGCGGGCCGTTCATTGCTCGAGGCGGTGCTGGGGACCTGTACCTTGGCTCCGGCGGGTAGCCCCTTGGGCGGAACAAAAGAGACTCCGTTGCGTGGTCTCCTCGTTCTTTTTGTGTGTGCCACGCAGTCAAGATGAAATATGTACATATGTTGCACATTTGTGGTCAATGAGTTCCACGGCCATTGACTCTGAGGTTATTATCCTCCCCTGGCCATCCATTCGGGAAGCCAGCGAGGCCGCTCCATGCATTTGCGGGACTACTTCGCCTCTCCCGCCATGCGGGCGCCCAGCCAGCACTTGGACTTCGGTTTCCAAGGCTTATTTCAAGAAATGAGTTATGATTTCAGGATATTTCAGGTAAACAAACAAATCAGGAACTTTCCTGTATTGCTGGAAGAAAACGGGTTGGTTGATGTCACTTGTACTTTCATCCCTGTGATTTGTTTCTTTGAACAACCGCCAAACTAGATTTACAAGTTACACAACATCTATTTTCATTGTGCCTTCTGTATCTTCAGATAGGTGAAAACTGAGCAGCCCCACATCCACACGCCAGGATGACTTTGGTTAGTGTAAAACGACTGCCAAACTATCGCAGATAAATGGTGCATATTACCCTGGTTGTAGTGACCCCTGCATTTTTGGTGTTTGGTGTTGAGCCAGTCCCATACTTCAATTAAAATCATGAAGGAGGGAGCCTCCTGTGGCCTGTAGATCTCGTTCACATCATCCTACTTGCATCTCTACCTGCCCTTTTTGATTCTTTTAGTGCAATGTCTTACAGGGCCGTGGACAAGTGCTTGTATTCCATCATGTCAACATGTCCTTGACTTTCCCCTGTCAAGCTATTTGTATATATATATATATATCGCCATCAGTCTTCGGTTGGCCTCGATACTTCAGGAACTCGAGGACAAGACCATGCAAGACTTAGACAATCCACTCACATGGTGGAGGCGCAAACCCGGCGTAGTTCTTTTTACAGGTCATCAAAGGATACTCAAGGTCCTGGGGTCTTGGCAACTATATAACAACCGTTGTGGATTACCAATGGTTGTGGGCTGGGCCACCCCTGTGTATTGTTGTGTCCAACTTGCTTGGGTCTTGGACGTGTGAGCGGCGACAGGTTCAACTTTGTCATCATAATGACGATCTTGTGACTTGGAAGCATGGGATCTAATATCCAAACAACAGCGAAGCATGAGACCTGCATTCAGGTAAGCAAAACCCATCCTTTCTATTGGTGTTTGGTGCATGCGGGGAGAGCAGTTTGCTTTGGAAGCATGACACTGCCAAAAAAAGGTTCGGCTGAACATGTCAAGCCCGCGGGCTCAGCCATCGACAAACTGGACATCCTGGGACGCCTATTGTGCCCTGCTGTCAGTATCGTATGTGTCACATCTCCGTTTAATCACTAAACATCATTAAACCATAAGATGTTTTCTTTTTCTCACCCTCCCAGGCGGCCTTTGCTTCTAAGCTGTTCCGGTTGGTCAGCTCGGTGCAGGTTGGCCACACCGATCCCGGAAGCCGCCTGGGTGGCCACATACTTTGGCGTGACGTCCGTTTGGGACTTCGAAAGTGAAGCTGGGCATTTGAACACAACAGGTGGAACATTTGTGGAACACATTGCTTGAAACGTTCACCACGATCTCAGTGCTTGCTCCGTCCTTAAGCTTGGCACAAACAGAGCAGGGGAGACGTGCACCATTAAACAAACCTCAGAGACCTATGGAGATTGGAGGCCCTGAGTCTTTGGCAGTGTTGGAATCTTGGAGCTGAGGATGGTGTGCTCAGCTTGCTGATTTTCACTCCATTTGTTTAAGCCTTAGCAGATCACATGTGCGACGGTAGCCTTTCCTGCTACCCAGTCATGCAAGGTTTACAATTTCATCGAGCTTGTTTTGTGGCTTTGGCGGCAAGACTTTGTGAAATTTGTAGACACATGTGCGAAAAACAGGAACACATGTTGCAAGGCTTTTGATGAATATAGCGCTCAAGTGGCTTGTCATCGGCAAGTACAAGGTGCTCAGTGGCAACTGGAAGGAACATATGATTATACTGTTCAATTAATGATTAATGATGATGGCTTATTGCCTGTTTGACTTGAAATGTGAGCTTGCCTGCGCAGTCAACTTAGGCTACTGGTATGTGCATTACTGTTGCTAGCTCGTAAGGTTTTGGAGCACAAAGTCAACTACTCAATTCCACTGCTAGATCAAGCATCAATGCATCATCCTTTTCAGGTCCCCCAAACTACACAAAGGTTTGAAACAGCCGTCCAGATTCTTTTTTGCTTTATGGTGGGGTTGACCCTCACGGCCTCGGCAGGCTGGAGAATATAAGTTCTTCGGTTCCTATCACGTCGCAACGCTGCACCAGTGGGGAAGAAAGGTCTGCATGGCAATTTGAGTGTGCTCAACGGCCCACTGAACGGATCTGAACGGTGACTGTGGGCGGGAATCGCAAACGGTCTTATCCTTTCTTCACGAGCATGGAGTTTTTGAAGTAGTTTTCGATACTGTAATTATTGATTAGAAGTTTTGTGTGGCAGCCTCCCAGATGCATTCATTTGCCTGCTAAGACGCGCTGGATGATCATGATGATTTGCGGCACAGGCCGGGTTTGCACCACACCAGGTCCACCTGGTGTGTGGACGTGTGTCCATCACTTGAATCACTTAGGCAGGTAGATCCTAGTCAAGGTTTCTTAGGTGAAGAACTGCGCCATCTCACAGGGACCACACCGCTTGCTGATTTCTGCACGCCTTCGAGGAATCAGCGCGCTTCAAGACTGCCTCCGTGGCACCGTCTTTGAGGTTGGGAAGAGTCAGAACGACTAGTGGCACTAGTGGCTTCTTGATACCAGTTGAGTTGCTCCATTCGCAGCGATGCCCTTTGTTACTAGTAGCGATGGCCTTGCTCCTAGTAGCTTCTTGTATTGACAAGTGTTCACGATATACAGTATAGGTATTGCTACGTTTTGCACGTGTCAATCTTTTGAGCCACGCTGTTGGTTGTTTCGGATTCTGAAGGGTGTGCGGTTTATCTTATCAAGCGGGTGAGATTCCAAAGCTTTTTTAAAATCTATACTGTACTTACAACACAGAATGCCCATATTACTGCAGACATCCAGTTTGGCTTTTGCGTAAAACCAGGAACTACTGAAATAACATCATTAGAAGAAAAAGGGGGCGAGAGCAGTGATGTTTAGATCCTGACCCTTTGTAAAAAATGATGTCTCAAAAGACCCTGTTACGAGATAGAACAAGACAGATTCGAGACAGAGAGATGGGGTTGATGTGCATTTTTTAGCAAATTGTTTTGATGCTATTGCACGTTGTTCCCTCAAGATATTGGTGTGAAATGATCATCTACTCATGCTACACAGTACGGAAACACTGTAAAGCAATAGTGCAGTATGTTAAACATACTATGGCTTTTCACCTGACGACAAGACTGACGAACAGACTGCCAATGCATTGCTTGAATATCGAGAACACTAAACAAAGCAGTGGCAATTTTTGTCAATCTATTGGTTTACAGATAACTTATAGGATGATTTCGGTAGGTTCGATGAATCTTAGCACCCCAAGGACCCCCGGTCAGTCCTGGACTCGCTTCAGATGCAGGTTTGGGTGGCTCGAGCCTGCGGCGCACGAGTCGGAAAGGACTTGGTGTAAAGAAAGAAAATGTGACAGAATGCAATGATAAGTATGAGTTAAATGTGACTTGAACCTTGATACTGAAGCTATCTCAAGTTGATTTAATTGAAGCTGGACACATACACCGATTGCCACAGGGATCCGTGCAGTCAACATGCCAAAAGATGCCAAAAGTTTCGTCAACCTGCCAAGCCGATGTTCGGCGTGTCAAAGCGCCGTATTGCCACAGGTTGTAAAGGTTTTCGTGCACCTGTCGACATGTCAGTCAGATCGATGGTTGCAAATACATAAATGGCAAAAGCTTTTGGATTGGGCAGTCATTGAGCTGGGGTCAGCTGGTTTCGTCATTCAAAGCGAGCTGTTCTTCCGAGCTCCGAGGATTTGCGAGTTAAGTACAGCTGTGAAGCAAATACTTGCTGTTTTCACTTGTGATTGACTGGGTATCAGGTGCCCATTAATCATTCGCTCAATTTAAAGTACATCCAGTGGATCTCAATGGATGGGTCCTGTTCATTGGGGTGGCGTCGTTGCGTCTCAGTCTCCTTCCCGCCCCGTGACGTCGTCTTCTCATCGGCCGAAAAGGACTGCTACCTAAGTGGCCTCATCGTCGAATACGACCTGCTAAGTATAGGCGCACCGTTCCGACCATGTGTTTGTTTTGTGGTTAAAACACAGGTGATGCAGTTTGGTTCATTGATTTCACCCGTGATTGATCGCTCCCCTCACTTTGCATAACGTTCCAACCTTCACCCTTCCGCACAGTTCCGCCCCATCCAAAAAGAAGTCAAACTGCAGGTGACCACGTCGCGATTGGTTCCGGGCAGCTTGGCAGCCCTTTAGATATCGAGAGATTGAACTGATTGAACCTCTCCAAATGCTCTGAGAGCAGCAGACCGCTCAGTAGACCAAGTAGCCCAACCTGGGGGGCAGTCATCCCATGTAAGATAAGGCGTTGTGGCTCAGGTGATTCTTGCATATTTTGGCCTTCGCCATCATAAAAGGGCTTTGTGCCGACTCTCTCAAACGGATGAGGTGCGACACCACTGGGCACACTGTGGAGAACATGGTCATCAAGCTCGCACCCACCAGGTGTGGTCTCGCAGAGTGCTTCACAAATATATGATTATATGTCCTGGATCTTCAAACGGCACAATTGTTTCCCGGATACATTTTTCAGAGAAAAGACGCCGTGCCGCACTGTAATAAAGAAGCACATTGCCGTTTTATTGGGTTGCAAACATGTGCTCAAAATCCATGGGCGGGGAAAGATGCCGTTTGGACGCCGAAAGACGCCGTTTAAGTTTAGATGCCTGCCGTTTCTGTTGGTTTCTTCTGGTTCCACCTGGTCACAACAAAAAACGCCATCTTTGGGAAAAGATACCGTATATAACGGCATTGTTCCCCAGATAGTCAGATACTGTAGCTGCAGGCTATATGTATAGGGGTTCTAACTTCTCAATGGTGTGGCTCTGGATTGGCATTTCGTTTTGCCGGTGCTGCTGCCGTGCTGGTGCTGGTGCCGGTCCAGGAATGACATCATGTGATGCTCAGAATGACATCATGTCATGCGAGGGATGACATCATGTCATGCCAGGGACGACATCATGTCACGCCCGGGATGACATCATGCGATGCAAGGGATGACATCATGCCTTGCAAGGGATGACATCATGTCATGCCAGGGATGACAAATCTATACACCCGCTATTTGGTGTCTACCCCGCCACAATTGAAAAGGCAGTTATTTGTGCCGCTTCGAAGATCCAGGCTTGAGTCATACGAGGTCACATGTGACTCAGGTAGGAGGCTTGTTCACATATGTGGTGCCACTGGCATTTCATATTTGTTGTACATTGCCCCTACCATACTCCGTGGTAGGTTAACACCGCCCCACAGAATCTCATGTACCATGACCCATTGCAACCTTGTCAACTCCGACTCTGCAAGTGTCACAGCTTTACACAGTTTGGATGTGGACCGATTGGACAGCATCAGATCCTTGCACGCAGCATGCGACCACTGGACAGCATAAGAATCTTTTGGTGACCTTCAGCATTTCTGAGCAATTTCCATCTCCATGTTCATCAATTTTTGGTTCAAGACGGATATATGGCTGGCTTTTGGACAGGATTGGAGATGGCGCAGCACTCCTTCCAGGCAGGGCTGGGCATGCGGTTTTATGAACATTTATGGTTTAAATTATGGGTTTAGATTGTCTCAAGGATCAAACATCATCAAACAGTTGGGGTATTCTGTTCCTTGGTTACAAGAATGAGAACGATCCGAATACGAGCCTCATGTGTTTCCGCTTGGAGGCCCTCTAATGTGGATGGTCCAAATTAGAAATTCGGCATCAAGAGGACATTCCCAGACTTTGAGTGGTAATGTTGGATCTTAACTAGTAAGCGGCCAACCCTCTTTTACAAAAAAGTAGACAGCCAAAAGTATTCTCCTAGTAGTAGTCGTCCTCGTGGGCGTGGTCGTGGTCGTCGTCGTCGTACTAGTAGTCACCGTCCGCAGTCGCAGTCGCAGTCGGAGTAGTTGTAGTTGTATACCAGCAGCAGTAGCAGTACTAGCAGGAGGAGGTCTACTAGTAGCAGCAGTAACAGAAGCAGGGGCAGTAGCAATATCAGTAGCACTTGCAGCAAGACAGGCTGAGGTTAGGCAAGGATAGCAAGGGAAACAATAGCTGAACGATGGAACGCTAAGCTTAGATTGTTCCCAGAGGGCTTCAAGTTGGGGCAATAGGTTTGTGCACTACCCCTTGAAAAGTTGTTTGGAACAATGTTTTGTTTTTTTTGATTTTTTTTGTTCAATAGGGTTTCTGTTCAGAGTTCCAAGAAGAGGTTAGGTAAAGGTCTGAAAGGCAGCCAGCACCTAAGCAGTAGAAAGTACAACAGTGAGGAAACATATCTAAAAACCATCTCCCCTGGCGAAAACAAAAAAACATAAAAAAACAACTATTATTCCAAACGAAACAATCAATCACGCTTTGGACTAGTTTCGGAACTTGTCTTATTACTTCCACTCCCTTAAGGACTGAACGTTAAGCGGCTAGAGTGGGGTATGCAGTTATCAACCGGCCTGCCCAGCAACAGATACCACTCAAGGAACACACCCTAGAAGCACAACCAGAGTATGGTATGAAACTATAATGCATATTCAGTGAAAGCTGACTGTTTGCCCGTGCCCCATGCCAAGCAGCGTGAAGGAATGTTGCTTGTGGAGACCTTGGAACACGGGTTGTTCGTCCAACCAACACGGGTTGCTTGGGGGGGTCCTGTCGACCCTTCCCAACGTTTTGGCAACCTAGATGCTTTCCCCTGTCGATCCTTTTTGCATTTTGATGTTTGCATATGATATGTTTGCAAACATGTCACACGTGATGACCTCAGTCCATCTCAGTCCGATTTGCCAGGATCCTTTGCAATGCCTGGCTCTGTCATCGAGGATGAGGCCGGACACGATCCCAAGCGTATCCTCCAGTTGCTTACTTGTGATTGTCCTTTTGCTAAAAGAAACTTTCATTCAGTTGAGATGTTGGTGTGTGACTTCATTCCGTTGGCTAATGTCCCAACTGCTGAGGATTCTTTCAGCTATGAAGCGACCGAGATGACCCCTTTCACAACAAACTCCACTGAGCTTGCCTAGTACCCAACCACTGGATTGCTTGTTTAAATTCCTTGAGCTGTTGACGGTATGCCGGGGGGATGCGCCGGGGGGGGGGCCTCTAGCTTCTTGAGACTCACCTCAAGTGGAGGGAGAATCATGGGAGGATCAACATTTAGTCTCTCCGTCTCCCTGCCCTTGCAGGCGGTGCTCATGGAGCACACGCAGGCTCGAAATTGATCGATTGAAAATGCTTGCAATGAGTTGTGTCCTTGCGGGTCTATTCCAAAGACCAACGCCGCGGGACTGCGTGTTTGCTTGGCACCGAATCTACCACCCGGGTTTGCGGAGTAATGAAACGAGCGTTACAGTATATTTTACATCATTCACATTGAATCAAGTGCGTTGCCAATCGGCCACGACTGCTCACTGATGCATTTCACAGCTCTTTGGAGCAGGGAGGAGAAATGGATAGAAAAGGGAATGTCGAGTCTGAATTGGCCGTTGTGTATGTCTTGTGGGACATAGGAAGGGTTGCCAAATCCACACCGTCCAGCGATTCACCCCAAAACCCATCTGTGAAGAAAACCCGTCTAAATTCAAAATCTCTGCCGACATGTACGGACGACCATGTTTCTCGTGTTCCAGGTACTAAAAGGAGAAACCGTACCTTCAAGAGAGGCCCGCGGGACCGCTGGGGGATCGCAATGGAAGGGGGCAAGAGCAAGAGAGCAAGAGCAAGTGGGCATGTATCGGTGTGGGTCATGTTTGGTTGTTTTTTGCGTATCTCACAGAAGTGTTAGTCACCAGTGACTGAGACAAGCCCAAGCCATTTGGAGGATATGATCCACGGATTCAGCAATGTGGTTCAGAGCATTTGCTGCAAAAAGTTGCGGATGTCCAAAAGTTCAAAAGAAGAATGGTCCACTAGTCGGCCCACTAGAAGCTTGGAAACCATGTGGATCCAAATTTGAAGGCCGTCAGTTCACCAGATTCGTCGTTGTGTTCAATTGTTTTCAATTAGTTTTGGTCTCCTATGATGGCCCTATGGTTCTCCTCCCTTTTGATTAACCACTTTGGGACTACTGCAAGGGTTTTTGACCCACGCTCACGTGTGTTCTCATCTTCATCCAGGTCTGGGCAGGGATGCCGGCTTCTGGCTGCAATCCAGTCCCGAAGTGAACGGCGCATGTGAATAGAAGAGTTGCAGACAAAGCCGAGAAACGAGAAAAGCAAACACAGGAACAACAAGAGCACCAACAGGAACAACCAGAATTGACTCTATACTGTAGACATAAAGCAGCAAGCACAACCAACGACAACTGTAAAAGTCACCAGCGTCCAGATACAAATAGCCTAAGCTATGAGAGAGGCTTGCGGTAGTTGACAGGAAATGAGTACAGTAAAGGATGCTGGAAATAGCGCAACCACGGCAAGCCATAACATACCATAACTATAAGTCTTCAAATGTTTCGCTCAGAAAGGCAAATGGTCGGCCAACAGTCATCAATGGTTGTCGTACAGGCTAGGTTCTTGAAAGTTCTTCCGCCCTCCAAAAAATGTCATATTTTGCCATTCGCCGAGTGTGCAACTCTGTGGAATTCAATCTTTTGAGCTTTCTGCAGGAACAGGCAGTGTTCCAAGCAGTTTCTAAGATGATCGTTTTGATCGAAACGGCTTGACGCTGGCCTGGCTTTGCAAGAAATGCTGTGAAGTGTTTTTTGTCTTTTCCAATGAGGGTCTCAATGGAGACTGAACCTCACAGGTGGAGAGCGGCCTTTTCCGCTGCCTTCCGCTTACTGCCGCATAGATCAACTAGATGTCCAATGACATGTGCCCAAAGTTCTTCAAGGCACATGTGTAGCAGTATGTAGTAGTTGCCAGATCACTGTGTGCCAGTGCTCTTTGATGCTGGGAGTGTTTACTGGTCAGCTGTGCTGCCACTACCTGGCAAGTGAATAAAAGGACATTGAAGCTTCATGATCAAAAGTGCTCAATCCATTTCCAGCTTCCAGTAGATAGACACAATGTGGGTGTGATGATGTGACGTAACAGGACTATATAATGTGTGTTTTCGCTATTGGCTTTGCATAGCTGACCAAAGTCAGGTCACAACTTCCGGTAGCCTGGTTCCAATCCTTCAGCTTTGCAAGCTGCACAAGTTGAGCCTTCTTCGAGGCAGATTCCTTCTTCGGTGCGCCCGCGCGCAAAGCTGGCGCGGACCTGCTCGGCTGAGTGACCAAGCAGCGTTGGGTTTGCCACGGTGTCGTGTCTGTGTAGTTCTAATGGAAGACACCGAGAGTATTTATGGCATTTATGGATTGCCTGATGATTCAAAGTACAACGCTTTGCTGGAGGATCAAATTGAACCATCCATCCGTTGAGCATTGAACCGTTGAACTGCCGGCTCAAATTTTTTGGACAGGGGGCGTGGCCGGCCGCGCGCAGCGCGCGCGTGTGGGCTTGCCAGCCCCCAGAGGAGCTTCATGGCAGATCAGGAGGTGGGATGACTCATGCTGGGCGCGGTCTGAAAACTGTATAACCTTTCCCAAATCCCTCCAATCACTGGAATTTGTGGAACATCCAACCCAAACATTGATGCACACATATGCGCAACCACTTTTATTTGGGCTTTACTAAAGCAGTCTACGGCGTGCTCTATTTTTTTTGTCTATTATCGAGATTAGCTTGTGAACGAGATAGGGCCCCCACATAAACGAGATACTTTTTTGATGACAGCAATGTCTGGCCAGCGAGCATGCGACCATTTGCAAGGAGAACCAAGGCAGATCTTTTGGATATTGAGGTAAATAACATGTTCAAGAGACAACCATGCACACATGCAGTGCTTGCCATTGCACAGATCTTGGCAGCTCAAGCCTAGAGGGTGTAAGGTGTGTATAGAGGCTGCCTGCTTTTGTATGCTTTTGTGCGTTGCGATGGGACTGCAGTTCTGCCTATGGGAAGAGCGCCGGTACCGTGAAGGAACCAGTGCTTGGGTGCTGACAGTGCAGGAAGGTAAGAAGAGAGGTGCAAGATTGACATCTTGCCCATCCAAAGGGGAATTAGAGCATTTGAGCGTTTTCAACATGGGCTGTAGCCAATGCCTCGACAAAGTTTTTGGTTGTCCTGAACGAGATCCAAACGAGATCCAAGAGTGATTCCTGAAGGCACAGGGATAGCCCCATCCTTGTTTCTCGACCTTATGCAGCAAGTAAGGTTGAAAGAGCTGTGGCCCAAGCTGTCAGAAAACGAACGTCAACGATGGAGAAATTGGAGAAGCAGCAAAGCAGAAGGAAAGCTCGAAAAAAATACCGCGAGCGAAAGCCGCAATCCCTGGCTGCAGCGCAGCAAAGCTCCTCTCAACCCTCGAACTCCAGTGACAGTGCTAGCTCGAGCTAGAAAAGTGTGTGTGTGTGTCTGTGTGTGTGCGCGCTCAACTGACTTCACAGCACGAGTTGTAAACATGATGACATGTGTCCTGCTACTAAAGAAGACTGAACGAGATACTGTGACATGACCTCCTACTTAAGTAGTCTAAACGAGATATAACATAGATCAAATTTGTTGAGTCAAGTCATCTCTTGCAAAGTGAAATCATCAATCCCCTGACTTGAGGTCCTGTGTTTGATCACTTTTGTTGTTTCTTGGCCCAAAAGAACCCCTCCACACATGTGAGCAACAGCTGTAGCTTGCTTAGCACTGGCTGTAGCTACTTCTCATCGCAAATATTCACAAAACTTTACTAAGTCCACGTTTTAGGAGGGTTCACACATCTTGGCCATGTGGTTATTTCTGTCAAACTGGTGGAATACGTCCTTCCCGAGTAGATGGGGTGGGACATTGGTGGCAGGTCCAACTGGTCCTAGCAATACTAAGACTGATTCAGATCTAGGGTTTTTTACAATGAAACATGCTCATCTACTCTAGGCTGATGCTTAATTCTCTTCTCAGCGATGGCCCCCCGCAGGGACTGCCTGGCGCTGAAGCATCGTTGGCTGTTTCTACGGAGACACCTACGCAAGTGGCACAGGTGAGGCACTGCGTTCTTCGGTGTTGCTCGAAAACCAATTCCTCTCAGTTTTTGAAGGGATGATATTGACAAGAGATTAAAAACCACCCCTTTGGAACCTGTATCGGCCAGAGTATATACATTATTCCACATTTCCCAATCGATGACTCAGTAAACCACACCCACGTAGCTGTGACTCAAAACTGTGTATCTTCGAATAACATTACACTTGTCGTTAGGTGCCAATGGAACATGGATGGATCAATAATCATGTTGCCTTTGTGAGCCAAACCCGAGCGAGGCTACTTTTGTACTGTGCAATACTGTGCATGTGTATGTTTCCAATGAGGTGGTTAGATGAGCAACCATGGAGTCTTTTGGTGCTGATTGCTTGGCTTTGGACTGCTGCGTCAGGTTGATGAACCTCGAGTCTTCCGCCTAAGCCGCCTGACAGCCTTTCATTACTCGACTCTTCTCATAATATACGCAAACCGAAGCGGCTTGTGATTTGAATGCGATCATCCAAGGATCCTTTCCTGTCGTGTACAGGCAGGTGCCTGTTCCGACAGCGCTGATTGTGCTCGTTTCAGATTTTCATTCCTCAATATTTTCCTCATAAATTTGAGTGGTAGTAGCCGTTGCTCAAAACAACATTCGATGTACGTTTAGCAACATTTTAGTTTGTTTTCTTTTTCTTTCTACTGCGGAGCAATGGAATGGAACGTGTAGCACCAGACCGCTCATACCACGGGAATCCACACGATGTCTTGTGTGAGTAGGTTCCGCACGCAGCCACTGATTAGAAGTAGCACAATACGTATATACAAGTGTATATACAGTATTCGCAATAATGTGTACATAAAAGGTGATTGACAAACGTTAGTGTTTTGTGGCACACATTGGCATATGCATCAATTATATGAGTTATATATATATATGACATGTACAGCATAACAGCCTATTCAGTCAACGTCCCCTCTGGCATGTATGCCTTGAACGTAATGCCGACAGGGCATCACAATATACAAAAGCTAAGCACAGGTGTAGCTTCAGACGTCAGACGCCCGGAGAAATCCAATACTATGCTTTGTGTGTACTATCGGTGCTACACTCTCTTCAAATGGTTTGGCTACCTAAGGGTGATGGACGGGGTTGCCAACCATATGCTTCGGGATGTTGAGCGTTCTTGCAGCAGCTCTGTGTTTGTTATGCATATCATGCAAGAACCTTTCTTTCTTTGCCCCTCGCAATGATCTGACACTGAGCCACAACTTGGTTGGTCCCCAATGCAAGAAGCGTATTATAGCGAGAGGACACGACTGCACCGTAGGGACAAAAGCAAGAAGCGACGACGTGGCCGAACAAGGAAAACTCAGGTCGTGGACATTATATAGAAGCGTGCAGCAATTTAGACAATGATGTCAGATTTATTGAATTATTAAATGCTGTGGTGGATTCGTCATGCAAGAACCGGGAGTTCTACGTGATGTTCTATGCAAGGTAGTGTCATTGTAAAGGCCGTGTTGAGCAGTGTGTTGCGGTGTTGTGGCGCGGAGTGCTATGCAGTCGCAAGATGTGATTCACACCGGGCTCGAAGAAGATAGGTGATTACAGGTTAAAGCTTCTCACAGAAGTGGGCAGAGCCATTCGCTCTTTTCAAACTAACTATAGTTAAGAGTTCCAATCAAATCCTTGCGCTGGAGTTTCATTCCGAGCCATTCCATCCCAATCAAGTCTTGAATGATTGCACAGGAAAAACAGACTGCTTGGGACGTCGCGGATTCGGCCAGGTGGAATGTGGGGAAGGCAGAGCCAGAAGCTCAGACGGCGAGGGTTCTGGCTCATCTGAAGTTTTCTCATGAGATGTTGTGTTTGTCCCAACCACAGGTATACCCCACAGGATACCTCATGTCATGATTTAGAGGCCTTTGGAAGGCCACCTCAGAAGTTTCTGTGAGACTCTTTGAGACCAATGGGCAGTTTCTTTGACGACTGGTCTGTATAAGGTCTGTCATGTCCTGTTTGCCAGTGAACATCGAACATTGTTCTTCGGTGTTCTTCGTCAGATCGCTGGTGGCACCCCAAATGTACACTTTGGAACACTCGAAATGGAATGGCCTCTTAGACCATTTTCCTCCACAAACTGGTGGGTAGTTTCCAAATCCACGATGATTTCACGGGGAGTGTACCAAGTTCTCTTTGCACCGGTCGCTTCGCCCACCCCCAACTTCCGCCCAGGCAGTCCGGTGAAGTGAATGGGGTTTCTTGGCGACACGAGTGACGCCGTCCCGCAAGCGACATGTCAGCTGCGCAGTTCCGAAGCGCGCGGGTCATTGTAGCTCCGGGCCGGGCTCCGGGCCGGTCGGGGGTGATCCTACTTAGTATAGCTTCTAGCTACTAGTAACTAGTAGCTTCTTGTTCCTAGTAGTAATGCCAGGAGCTACGAGTAGCGATGCCCTTGATACTAGTAGCTTCTAGCTATGAAAGCATTTGTTGTCATTACATCGTGCCGCTATGTGCTGATGTGTTTGCCCACCTGGGCCCTCCTTTTTGAGACAGGCCCGTTTCGTCAGGTGAAATACCAGCAGACCATGGGGAGGAGCTGCGCTGGGGGCGTGCGGTGGAGGTGAGACAGTGCGCCCAAGGTGAAAACCGTAGGTCAAAGGTCTAGTTTTCCTGTTTGCCCCAAAAGCAGTCGTGCATAGGCTGCACGGCTGCGCTCCTCCCGAATTGTCATTTTGAGATCTTCCAGTTTGCAATGCCACAGAAGGCTTGATCTGCTTAGACTTCGCAGGATGGTGCTCATGTATCCTCTGATCGATGATTTGGATGAGGAAGACTTCAAGGCAGCAATCAGATCCTGAGATGGTGGAATACTTTGCTCAAAGCTTGTGCTACAAAGCCCCAAAAGTTGGTCTCATTCCGACATATTCCGAAATGGATCATAGGTCTCTCCTCTCGAGGGAGTTCTTACAGTTTTGCCAGAGTCAACATGATCCAAAAGTCTCCTTGCATGGACTTCATGATAACCTCCCACCCTCGAAGATCCCCAGAACAATTGGTTTGCTTTATGGACCGATGGATAACCCATCATGGCTTCAGGTTTCATGGTCCATGGTGTGCTGATTTCTTCTGCTAATTTTGTTAAGCCCGCTGGTGCCAGGTGAAGATGTCTTGTTGGCAGATAGAAGTTAGTCGAACTGGAGGCCTGGGCCGGTCATGTTGCAAGGAACATCAACAAACCTTAAAGTGATGGTATTTGAGGATCACGATATGGTTTTCGCATCAGATGTTTAAGTGCATTGACATTGACATCCTTCAGTATTCAGATATTGTACTCGAATTCTTTCAGTATATTTATAGTAAGGGCTTCGCCCTGGTGCCGCCGACCCCTTTTCTTGGGGGAGGAGCGCAGCGCTGCTGCTGCGTGGTGCTGCTGGCTGCTATAACCATACACCGGCTATTTCCTCAAGACACTCTATTCTTGACACCTTTTACGAGTGCTTATCCTACACTACGGATGCCCTAGGGTATGCACAGTCCTTGTGATGCTTACCCCTCGTTCCGGCTGAAGGCATAGATAAGCGGGGGGTAAATTGACGCCCCAGATTTGCCATAACCATAAGCCGGCTATTTCCTCAAGACACTTCAGTCCTTATACCTTTTACCAGTGCTTAGCCTACACTACGGACGCCCTACTGTATGTGCAGTCCGTATGATGTCAGAAATGCTTACCCCTCTTTCCGACTCAAGGCATACAAAAGCGGCGGGTAAATTTACCCCCTAGATTTGCGGAGCACGCATCTTCGTGCTTGCCAACGAGTGCACCCGGGTTGTTCCAATGTACCCTGCCCAGTCAGCGATGTCGCATTTACATTCTCTAGCGCCAAGTATGTACATAGCAAGCTTCCTCCCAAAACATGTAATCCCTACACGCTTTGCCGACTATGTAACTAGTACATCCGGTGCGACTCGGCTAGCGTTCGACCTGCTCCCCCCTGGCTTCAAGTGATGCTTATCCCTCGTTCCGGCTCAAGGCAGACATAGCGGGGGGTAAATTTCCCCCCAAGATTGGCAATAACCACAAACAGGCTATGTCCTCAAGACACTCTATTCCATATACCTTTTACCGGTGCTTCTCCTACACTATGGACGACCTAGTGTATGTACAGTCCGTATGATGTCAGAAATGCGTACCCCTCTTTCCGACTGAGGGCATACAAAATTTACCCCCCAGATTTGCTGATCACGCATCTTCGTGCCTGCCAACGAGCGCACCCGGGTCGTTCCAATGTATCATTCCCAGGCGTCGTGAGGAGCGGTCACGCCCCTCGCGTTGGGTGACGGACCAGTCCAGTGACCTATATAGGGCGATATTACTTAGATATTTAGATGTTTTTACAGTCAGCAAGGACTCATTTCGTGAAGAGTGGCATGATGCGGTATGATTGTTTCAGGAGTAGGGCGAAGCAAAGCCACGCTAGGGCGGGGTTGCTGGGCCAAGCTGCGGCCTGCAGGAACGTTTGCGGGCGGGGCCCGTG